TATAATAATTGCAAATATGTTTCTATACTCCCCCTGCAAGGAACAAATATATATTCCGTCATCAATAACGAAGAAAACATGATTTTATGGAATATTATGCACAGAGCAAATGAAGGAGAGCTCGTATAATAAGTCACATAGTTGCCAATTTGTATTTGATTGATCACAACTTTAATAATTCATAACTTTCTTATTTTCATTCAGAATTTGCTCAAACTTTCACTCACCTGATTTTCTTATTATTCTGCCTCTATCGAAACAAACTTATTTGGGGGGTGGACTTTCCCTTTAATAATACATTTATCTTTATCTTTCTTTATCTCTTCTCCCCTCATTTCTTCTATATTTCCATTTTCTCTCATTCTTCGTGTTCAAATTTGTTTTCTGTATCTTCGTTGTTAGTACGGTTATAAAAAGGTAAGTAGATTTAATTACGAGTTGGGCTGATCAAGGCACCTGGAAAGGGGGGGGGGGCATAAATCGGTTTTTAGTTGTATATATGAATTAGAATATTCCGCAGCTCCTCCGTATAGCTGTCCCACTGAGTTAACTAGTGAATTTTCTTAATTATAATAATAATAATAATAATAATAATAATAATAATAATAATAGAGAATATATATGAAGCGCTTAATGAATTGACCATTTCTATATGCGCTTTACAATCATGACGAATTCTAATATATAACCAACATTAATACATCATTGAGAAAGCTCGTAGATTTGGCCAAAACCCGTTCTAGATTTCAGTACCTCGGCGGTCATCCCGCTGTTACTATAGTAGCTTCTCGATTTTGCACACGAACCGCATATTCTCCGTCCGCAATGAGTTTGTGAATACTCCCTATTATGCAAATGTGGAAGAACATCAGATTATAAAGGTTCCCTGAAAAGCATGGCTCTTCAAATGCCTTAATATTCTAATAATGGCATGTAACAGCCTGAAGACAGGGACGGTTTTTTACGCCACGTGTTCGTGTAGTCCAATATACATCTGTCTATGTACAGTGCTTGTAACTTTACCAATATTTGGCCATTTTTCTTACCATTTTGATGATTCCAGAACCTTGCAGTAAACACCCATACTTATATGCTATAGATGATCAACCTTTTCTCGATTCCACACTGTTTCTTTCACAATGCGATCGCATGACCAGAACTCAACTTTATCTTAAAAATACTTCATTTATATAACACTTGAAGTTTGTTATTGAAGGAAGTACGTCTATGTTTTGGGAAGAAAGTTATTGTTATCGTTGTTATGTTTTTGTTCTATTTTGAATACATGGCGGAAGATATATACAACACTGAGGAAAGCTGATAAAAGGAACAAGTTGAAAAAGTACACCATTCTGCTTGTGAACGCAAGAGGAGCCTACATGTTTTTATGTACATATATATATATATATATATATATAATGTTATGACGATAAGGTCTGGTAATTTGGATCAGAATACCTGCCTCAAAGAAGGGAAATTAATGTAAGGAGCGATACTTGGTTATATTTGTGTTAGCTGCTAAATTATTCATGGGGTGAAAGTAATTGTTATTGTAAAGTTATTGTTAGTTTGGGCAAAAGTCCTGTTTAAATAAGGAAATTATTTCTTTATCAATTCAGTATTAAAGACCATGACTATATAGTCACCAAAATTATTACACTTTGTAAAGGGACAATTTCATCAACATTTCCTGTGCACGTGAAATCGCAACAAGGAAGGATTTAGGCCAAACATTCGTTGCCAAATGATGTTTGTTTATAAAGGACAATATCTAAATAGACATCCGATACAAGCTATTGAGATAAAAGTTTGGATCAGACGGAACTTCTTTTCCTCTAGGGAATGTATATAAAGAATATAACGTGATCTATTAGGATGAAACCCAAAATCATAACATGAGACAATATGTATCGAAACTAAAGGACATTAAAACTTGATGCAGTTAGTTCTCTCCATCAATTTATGAACTGTGTTTCATGACTTATGTTGTTTGTTCCTTTTGTTGTTGTTCTTAATTCTTTAAAACCACAGTAGGCTACGTACCCTATTAAAGTATCATCTGCCGTTTGTATATTTTTGCCATTTGCAATATTATATTATATATATAAAATTTAAACAATTGAGCCATTGGCTACTAATCATCTTTTGTATTATACCATTAATAAATAAATAAATAACGACAACAATATGTGCTTTCATAGGTTTCTAAATTCAGTATTTTTATAATGCAAATGTTGTTTCCTGTCATATTACAACTTTAACGATTGGCTTTCATGAGAACGTGCCTTGTGCTTTCGGTTTAAAGATTGAGTCATCGAATCGTTGTACAACGTACACAAGAACACTTTACTTACTATACTTGATGGCATTTATCCTGAACTTAGTAGAATATTCCGTCTCCATATTCGGTTTCCTTTCTATTCTGTGAATCTGAAATCTTCTCGTTTGTAATAAGGAATAGGCTTAGGTTATCATCTGATGTAGGGCTTGGCAGGAGGAGTCAGCTTCGTTTTTGTAAAGAAAATGTTTTAAAAGACATGAATTTCAAAGCGCAAATCATAAGCACTTGATATGTTTTTTTAAGAGCTAGATGAATTAAATCAGAGATTGGTTTTGAGCGTCTTCGAGATTGTCATGAAACGCATATATTTGGCTTTGGCTAGCTTTGTTCAATTACATGTACATGTACTTGGATCATATATGTAGAGGTGTTGTGGTCAAGTGGATACGTCACCGGACTGTCGATCACAAGGTGCGCGGTTCCAGTCCCGCCGCGGCTCTAATGTTCTTTGGCAAGACATTGATCTACATTTGCCACTCTCTACCCATGTGTTAATTTGGTACCCGGTAGGATGCGAAAGCCAATGTAATAATATGAGCCTAGTAGCTCTTGCGGGAAAGTTCCCAAGTGTGGAGAAAGTGCATACATTGTGTGCTGGCAAGCCAGAAATCGATGACCGTGGTAATAATGTTAATCGCTTAGAAACTCGGAAATTCCCGATGTATTAAGCGCTATATAAGCAAAAATATTACTATTATCATCGTTATTATATATTGAGGATATTTGGTAGAATCTTCTTCTACATTTACGCATCTGAAGCAGGTGTTAAGCCTCATTTTATTTTTGTTCGTTGTAGTCATAGAAGTGCGAGTCGATTCTTCTTAAACATTTAAGAATCTGACATAAAATACTTATATGCAGTCTTGTGTACACATTCTGGTACAAAACATACAAAACGTTCCTTCAAAATAGTTCATGATCATGTTGTGGCCGATATCTGAAATCTTTTTCTTCAGAATTTCGAGATAGACGGTCCCAAAATAAAATGAGACCCGAAAGAAAACATTAATTATGAGAAAACTATTTCCTACTTTCCATGAATTAGAAGTAATATGCTGTCAAAAATACTATAGTTGCATTTATCCATAACAACATGTCATCATCTATTTGTGCCATGTTTTTGTAACACAATACAAATGTTTGTATCGCATGAGAACCTCACTTTGAGGAAATGTAAGCTTTGACAGATGATTGCGCAAGAATTGTGTTGTGTTAATGATGTGTATCTAAATAAACAGTTACTAATAGTAGGGGAGAGAACAATTTCCGGGGAGAAAGGGAGTGCAATCTGCGATTTTTCTCCAATTTAATTATTATCCCTTGTGCAATGAAATTGTGCCTTTTTTAAAATTGTAAATAGATGCCATTCTGAGAAAAAAAAGTTACATAATATGATGGTACATTTTTTGTTTCTTATATTCATTTGACCATGCCTTTTTCCATCATCAAGCTGTAATTTGCCCCTTACTCTGATTCTTGTCTGAAATATCACCGGACTCTCTGTTAGATGTTTAAGTTCAGTTTTTCCTTTAGGTCACGTGCTGTCATATTCGGGGGTGATACAACCATGTGTCACTCAAATCTGGCAGTAATTGATTTTGTATGTGCCATTTTCAAGACACATGTTTTCAGTGAAGCCGTGTATGTATTGAAGCCATCAATGTATCATTAAAAAAGCATATTACCTCTACTTTGTGAAAAACATGATATCATGTTCACGCAGCTCATAGTTTGTTTACAATATCTGCTTGGTTTCGTGTTTCTTTTTTTTCTTTCTAGGACGCACTGTATATGCAGCTCATTTACGAAATTTGTTTAAGATTAACATCTAATTGCTAAGAGAAGGGAAGATGTGCAACAAACAAAACACAACAACAAACAAAACAAACAGTTAGTTATTCTTGTTATATAATAGTACAAAGTCAATCCTGGATAGCTCTTAATATCATGTGTAGGAAATCAGTGTGGTAATTAATGAATCAATATTTTTTTATTTAATGAATCAATTTTTTCAGACACGTCAAAAGCAAAATTATTAACATGAAAAAGTCCATGTACTTCCTTTAAAAATGTAAATACTTTTATAATGTGATTTTATTGGCTCAACGCCTGCTAATACATCCATGGAGGAAGCAACAAAGCAATCATGAACGGTACACTCCGGTATCATGTAATAGAGATGTTATAATACTATGATAAAATACAATTAGTTCATTGCCTATAGGAGTCATGTAAAGAGCAGTACCTACCAATATATTTCATTGAATCGTTGAAGAACACGAAATTTTAACAAAGGTAAGTACTTTCATTATACTTTTTCATATCCAATGCTGGATTTTGCTTCCAAAAGTTTTGAGTACTTAGGCCTATTTGATTTTGTGTTTTTTAGTTTTCCACTTAATCATTTACAAGCCTGTCCAATGTAGATGAATACTGTAAACCTGTCAGGATGAATGTGCAATTTGACTTGGAGTATAATGTATTATCACTGACTTTCTGTATATTTGTTTAATAACTTTTTGGACATAATAAATTATTCCAAATGACTTTCAACTAATAAAATAAGTAGAAGAAAGAAGATGAATGAGAAAGACAATGATCAGTTGGTTGTATTTCAGGTATTTAAGGAAATACTTGCTAGAACCGTTCAATATGTTATTACATCTATTCCAACGTCCTGCTGACTATCTTGGATTTAACAGGACGAGGGGGTATTTGATTATTATGTTCATTTACTAAAGAACACTTTCATTTCAGGGCCCTTAGCAGAATTCTAAAATGAACCGTCTCCCGTTGTTGCTACCGATTCTTGCCCTACTGATGGTGATACGTTCACCCGTAGTCCATGGTGTAACAGTTGGTGAGTATTCCATTATTATTGAGTGTATGGCGTCACCTGTGCCTGGGAGGCAAAGAGCAATTCACTGTTAACTATCGGGTCTCATCTCTTGACATGACTGGTTGGGAGTGTGCAGGTGGACCACTACACCGGGGTTTCCCCCTACTATTATGAATAGTGCAATGGGTTCTTAACGTGTAAAGCTGGTGACTCTCCTCTACACAGCGCCTCTATTTAACGTCCTAAATGATGGCATGTTAGCACACAATGCAGGCTTCAGCCATCTGCCTGGGGCCCTGGGTCGAATAATAATAATAATTAGCTTTTATATAGCACTTAATACAAATGTCTCTAAGCGCTTTACAAATAATTACCCCGGTCATTGGATTCAGTGCTTGCCCGCACATACTGTGTGCACAATCTCCACTCCATGTGGAGCGTTCCAACCAAACGTTACTTGACGCACAAAAACTGTTTGACCAACAATGACGGTCGCATCCTCCCGGGTACCCACGATCTTTGGTTCGACAGGCAGGCTACACCGACTGAGCCAACTTACCTCCTCAGAGTAAAGAGCTTTAATAACAATGATTTACTCATCAATCTTTCGTTCTTGTTTTGATATTTTATAAGTAGAGAATTTTCCTTCTTGAAATTTCAGATGATTCTATAAACTGTGATACAATTATTTGGATATGAGTAAGGCCCAGACAAAAAAAAATGTTGTATTGCCCTTTACATGCTAAAACATGTTTTAAGATTTTTACTTCGAGAAAGCTCAGTAAATATCTAAGCACTTCCATTTTGAATAAAATATACAAATGTACCATACTGCCAATCTTAGATTATTTTTGTTTCGTAAGCGGAAACTGTTCTTTACAAAACAGAAATATTCTTTTAATACTACAGAAAAGAGCTGCACCTATTGTCGTAGGGAACTTTGATTATAATGTTATTAGCTTGAATATAATGAATTCATTAAAATGGCAATCCATCGATACTAGACGGGACTATTTTTTAGCATGTATAATCATGGATTAATTGTCTCCGTCAATGTCTTCTCAATAACATTCCGTACATGTTTCTTCACTTTGATCTCACGAGGTCCACCGCCAAAGGCATTGATTTCTCAAAAGTTACCATTAGTGTTACATCTTTTGTCTCATGTTTATTTATTTAGTTTGTATGATTATTTTATGCAAGATTATGGGTCAATGTACGATACGTTTATTTGATCATTTTTTCGACCCCTTATTATAGTTTGTCATTCTGTATTTAATGAGTTTTATTGATATATGAAGGTCGCTTTTCTGTAAATATACCTTTTCATGAAGAACTATTTCGATTGAATTGACGGTCAAAAGATTGTTCTTCTTTTTAAAGTGTCATCAATTAAAACATTGCTATTCGTAATATCGTCGATAGTTCGCTGTGTTTTTCACAGAGTATAGTAGTATGATTTAGCATAATAATGCTGTATTTTACTCACATATAGGAGCAGATTTTCTGGACGTTCGCTTGGTTAATGGATCGAACAATGCTTCAGGTCGAGTCGAGGTATGGTACAACGGTACCTGGGGAACAGTATGTGATGATGGATGGGACTTGAACGACGCCAATGTCGTATGCAGAATGCTTGGGTTCTTCGACGCGTCTAGTGCACCAGGCTTGGCTGCATATGGTGCGGGTTCTGGAAAGATTCATCTTGATGAAGTTGAATGTACTGGATCAGAAAGCAGCCTCGAAGACTGCATCGAGAGTGAATTTGGAGTCCATAATTGTGATCACAGCGAAGATGCTGGGGTGACCTGTGGAGGTACAATGACCGTTTGTTTCATTCTTTTAATTCCACCTATCGTTATTAACCAACTATTGCGTTGGCTTAATCTCTAAAACATCGACATATAGCTCACTGACCATTGTTTACTGGATATGTCTAAGCAGGACATGTATTGCAAAAATCCAAAGTAGTTTAAAACATGATTAGGTTGTGTTTTAGGTCGTAGTTTGTTTTATTGTTGTGCGAGACTATACCAAATTCTCAGAAATTACCCTTACTTTAATAACATTCGATATTAAATTGATATGATATTCGATCAAGGCCAACAACAATAAAGTATGTAGATAAAGAAGTAGATACCTAGAAAACGCATTTTTGTATTAAGTTTTGTTCACAACTTACCAACCTCCCAGTAGTTCGTGATCGGTACAATACGTAAAACGACCATTCACTTTCGCTATATGTAAAATGTAAACATGCTACTGATGGGACTCTTGCCCATGCGAGCTGGCAACTGATATTGTTTGACAGTTTACAATAGGATTGTTTACTACTGTAAAAGTATCAGTCTCAAAATGCCTTGACTAGACGCTGTTAGGTTTAACGGTAGTTCTATTGTTAGCATACCTCCTCTACTTCTACACATGCCACGAGACAGTGCCTTACGTCCAAAGGGGTTTACAATGAAATTATGCCCCCGGTCGAATCTTTTCTATTCATATAATGAAACCGGGCTTATTTTAGTTTTTAAAACTTATGCCACAACACGAATCGATACACTTAGTAAAACTCTACGACTGTTTTTTAATAATTAATTGGTTGTAAGCTACAAATATGTTAAAATAATCTACGACTGTTGTTTAACATTCCGGCTTCGTTTTTCTTTTTTTTTGGACTATAGATTCGCCAGCTTTCCAACCTCACATTTGGATCCCTAAAACAAGAATTGGTGAGAACTTCCCCTTTTTGATTACATTTCTTTTAAGTAAACTATAATCAACCTATTTGGTATAAATGCCAATATTTATTTCACAGTCTTTGTCTTTTACATCATTATGAATCACTGTATATATATGTAAGAAACATCTCAAAACACACCTATTTACATTGTAATTAACTGCATTACATTTTCTATCATATTTTTTTGTTGAGTTTTAATTCATTGATGTATTTGTTTTGTAAAGCGCTTTGATCAGTTGTTAATTGGATATAGCGCTATAAAAAGAAACAATGTATTATTATTTGTATTATTATTATTATCGTCATATTATTAGCCGTCACTCCCCTGCGGACATCTTTTACAATGTGTCGTGATAAATGTATACCCAATGCTATCCTGGCAACATCAGCCTGGGAAATTAGATCTATAATGTTAATACTAGTTGACGGAACGGGGCACAAAGATGATAAGAGATAGGACTGGGGCAGTGGCGGATCCAGGTGGGGGGGGGGGCGTGCCCCTACCCCCTGGCAAAAAAAAAAGAAGGGGAAAAAAGAAGGGGAAAAAAGGGGGAATATTTTTGCTGTGTGTGTGCTAAATAAAGGGGAAAAAAAGTGTTCATTCCACCCCCTAAACCACTGAACAAAATATCTGACTACGTTTATTTTCGAGTTTCCGGGGCCCAAACAAATTTAAAAAATAAAGATTGCTCATCTGACCGTAATTAAATGCCTTTAACCCCTTGACTTCCGGTGGCTCTGCCCCCCCCCCCTAGACCCAAACCTAGGGCCCTAAGGCGGATGGTTGGATGCTAATCTGACGGTAATTTAATGCTTAAATCCCTGAGCCCTCTGCCCTCTGAACCCAACCATTGTCCTAAGGCGGGCCCCTGGATGCTCATCTGACCTTAATTTATTGCCCAAAACCCCTGAGCTTCCGGTATAAATAATATGCTCATCTGACGATAATTTAATATATAAAACCCTTGAGCTTCTGGGGGCTCCGCCTCCTAGACCCAACACCAATTTGTGTCCTGCCAGTGTCACAAATAAGGTATCAAAATATGCTCATCTGACCGTAATGTATTGCCGAAAACCCCTGAGCTTCGAACCCCCCCCCCCCCCAACAAATGAAAAAGTTTTGGGCGAATTCGTTCAGAAAATGGATTGCTCACCGAGCCGATTAACTCTGCACAGAGCTTCGCACCAAGTACCGCAGTGTGCACTGGCGCGTAGCACAGAGAGTCAACTGGTCAGTGGGTGCGTGCATTACAGGCCCACTGCACTACTTGTAGCTACTTGCGCCCTCTTACAACAAACAATGCCTAATCGGTGACCATTGGTCCCCCATGATCCTCTTTTTCTTATGTTAACTGAGAGCTGAGTTGATGAGATAACCACCTGTCCAGTGACCTTGCAGGCTCTCTAATCCGTCCTGTAAACTATGGCAGATAAGCTTTAATGACAAAATAGGGAGAATGGGTTTTGTTCATAACATTAACATAAAACAAGGACGATTTCATTTACATATTTATGTCTTTTAATGAAAATCTAAGACGATACAAAAAACAATAACAAAACTTTAAACTCTTGAAGATTGAATTTATATCGATAATTCAATATCGAGGAGTTCACTAATTATATATCTAACCCCACAATCAAATGGAATATTCCTCTTTGAGAGTCTGAGGTTTACGACTAACAATTTTACAAAATCCTTTGTGTTTCGTCTTGGTCACTGGCAAATTTCACACCAAAAATCCATGAGGTACTATCACCATTAGATTATCAATACTACAGTCTACATGTCTTCATCTTTCCACATTTTAGGTTGAAACTCACAGATTGATAGAAATAACTACACAAAATGGACAGGTTCAAAGAACATTCCGAGAGAAGACGTGCTGTTTCAAATCACATGCAACGCAAAACTTCGCACGCTAATGTCTACGTCTGTGGAAATCGTGTAGTGTGGCATATTTCACGCTCTTACGCAACAAGGAGCTTAAAATGAGAGACAGCAAATCATTCGATGCAAAAGTGCAACCTTTACCTCTTATCCAATCAAAAGGAATGATACATTACTGGAATCGTTGAACCTGCTTTAATTTGATATGCGAGATGGTGCAATTCGCTCACCGAATCACTTCTCCAGCCATGATAAGTATGGAGCGTTGACAAATTTTGGGCGAAAATCGGTTTACCTTCATAGAGAAAGTGTCGTGAAAGGTTTTTTTGGAACATTTTATAGCAAAAAAGTGCAACCTTTTCCCCATGAATGAAATTATTCCAAATGTATATCATCTTAAAGAGAAAACGTTGAATTTTAAAATACCGGCCAAGAAGGTATTTAAAGTGGGTTCAATTAGGCTGTTGCTGTGATTTACACACTAAGAAAAAATGGTGCAAGTATGCACCTTTAGGGGAGCAAACCGATGCAACACTGGCAGCATCTTTAGGGGTTAAATCCTGCACCATTTTCAAAGGTGCAATCCTGCACCCTTTACAAGGGTGCCAGATTGAACCTTTTAGGGGACATGTTATTACCCTTTATGGTTCAATCCTGCACGTTTAGGGGTGCAAACCGATGCAATAGCAGCACCTTTAGGGTTTCAGTCCTGCACCCTTTAAAATGTGCAATTTTTCTCCCATACTCGAGGAATACTCGTAAAATTTGCTCGTACATAAATACATATTAAACATGCATGTTGTTTCTTGGTAAGTAATCATAGAATCAATATATCTATTGCTAAAACGTGAATGTAATTGTAACGTGATCAGACAAAATAATCTATTTGTTTAATGATTGTCGAAGGAAAATAAACAAATCACAAAATTGATGTGCATTGTCCTAATTTCCTTAACAAATCGTGATAAATGTATATGTATGTGAACACGTGTAAAGTAATCATGTATATGCATGCAATATGCAAACTTCTATTTTGCACCCTTTTTGGTCGATTGGGTTCATTTTTGTGGGAAGGGTGCAAAATCTTATATTGCACCCTTTTTGAACCCCTTTTCCTTCAAAAGGATTCATTTTTATGTAAAGGGTGCAAACTCTTATTTTGCACCCTTTTTTCTTAGTTTGTAGCGTAGGTAATGCATGAAATGGTAAGGAATGTCACGTGTTGTAGCTCACGGTGCAGTGCGTGCCGAGCAGATGAACGAAAGTTTTTCATATGATTTTTGTATGAGTGTATTTTGGAGGAAACCGTCCCCCCTCAATTTTTTAAAATAAAAAAAGTGACCAAAAACAAAGATAAATATGTGAAGAGCTTGATTCCAAAAGGAGCTAAATCCATATTTTATCAAAACTTAGTTTTTTGTCTTAAAATAATGGTTTCCTACATAGGAACAAAATGCACTATATCGCATTCTAAAATTTCACCAGGAAGTATGAATTTTTTTAGTTACAATATCATATTTCATTCCAAAAGGAGCTAAATCCAAATTGGTTTCATTCCAAAAGGAGCTAAATCCACTTTGGGTAAATCAACTTTTTTGTTTCTCCACTTTCCCTTCAGCCATGTACCTTCATGTTGTTATTTATGTTAAAGGTGTCGCCCTGGACCAATAATATATGATAAGAAAAAAATCTACCAGTTATTTCTGATTTTTTACTAAATTATTAAAATTTATGGATTTAGCTCCTTTTGGAATGAAGCATGGATTTAGCTCCTTTTGGAATGAAAATGTGATAAGTTGTTTACTTTCTTTTCAAAAGGTATTTTTAGATGTGATTTCACTGTTATTATTTAAAAGGAAAGGTTTGCAACTAAATTTAAATAAATTTCAGTGACTTTATTGAGAAAATATTCTAAAATTTCACAAATTTTAGGTACAATATCATGTTTCATTTCAAAAGGAGCTAAATCCACGAAAAATAAAAATCTAAAAATTAATAAAAAATCAGAAACAACTTCTAGATTTGTTTTAATCATATATTATTGGTCCAGGTTGACACCATATATAACAGCATGAAGGTACATGGATGAAGGGAAAGTGGAGAAATAAAAAAAGGCGATTTACTCAGAATTACCCAAAGTGGATTTAGCTCCTTTTGGAATGAAACTCTTCATATCCTTAGCTGAACTGCGAGAATATCTTTCGTAAAATATCGTAAGCAATCATATTGAGTTGCAATCCTCAAACTACAACAACAAAAAGGGGGAAAGAAGAAAAGAAATTTGAGCAAAATTGTCATGGCCCTTCGACTTATATTAATACTGTGTTTATTCTGTGGCATTTTCCTCCAGAGAAACCTTGTTTAGTCCCAAGGAACAGAGGACCGGTTCTCCAGTTTGTGAATGGTGATGAGACGAGGCCAATAACTAGCTACTATACCCTTCCCACCTTACCCGATGGCACCAAACTAGTTGCTAGATGTAGAGACCCTGGAATGTATAGATTGATTGGCGATCAAAGACGAACTTGTCAAGGAGGACAGTGGACCGGGGAAGAACCAGAATGTCGTGAGTATTAATGCGCTTCAACCGAAGATTTTGAGCAAATTAGAATCGATAGAAGGGTAGAACAATAATCGCCTATTTGTTTCTTTGGTTTATATACTAACTTTCAGCAAAGCATACTATTCTTTGGACAACGTTCGTTCCTGATTTTTTTCTAGCCTGACAATTATTGTTTTATTAAACATTTTTTTCTTCTATTTTGACCTTTCAGTAAAATACTTCAAGCCCTCTTAACAAAATAAAAAAAGATCACACCTATTTGGCTTTCCCCATCATGCAATATTCCAGCTTCTGGTTCCTCTAACCTTTGTGCGCCAGACATCATTAGCAGATGTAGGGCTGGGTTATACCCCTTTCACATACACGGATTTTTCTTACGAGTCCTTACGGATCACCAACTTGTAGTCAATTGCAAGCATCCGTAAATAACTCGCAGACACTCTTAAGGATCCGTGAAAGGAGAGGAAAATGTGTTGACATGTCAAAAATCTTTTTGCGATTGTCCACGGATTGATTTTTCCGTAAATAATTCGTAGCAATCCGTAAGTATCGTAAAGCGCTCGTAAACCGCTCGCAACAACACGTAACCATCCGTAAACTGCTCGCAATAATCCGTATTTTTTGTAACGAATTGTTACGGCTTGTTTACGATTTATTTACAGATTATAACGAGTGCTGACGTGTTGTTTACGATTTCATTCGGGTCGTGTTACGATGGCTTTACGGATTGTTACGAGTTATTACGCGAAGGAAGTATGCGCAGCCAATGCGCAAATTTTTAACAAAGTATTCGTTAACTAGTCGTGAACATGCGTGCCATCGCACTGGCACGATTAGGTAGCGCAAAGGGTGCGCATTGTTCATGAAGTGCTCACGAACGTTGCCAAACAAAATTGTCGTGCCAACATTTTGAACATTTTGAAAATTCTGTCATGCATTTCAAGCACGGCCCAAATCCCCCACATCCGCCCGCATCCTCAGGCACGCTACCACGAACACTTCCTGCATTGACACGCAAGAGTATGTGTCTATGCGCAAACCAAAATGCGGGCAAGTGTCAACGAGGCATATGAGAGGGATTCGACTACACTTTAAACCCGATGCTGGGATTCAGCTTTTGCCTAACATATCAGGGCCCCGTCTTATAAAGAGTTGATATTAATCGCAACTATGTTAATAAGAAACAGGAGACAGCAGTCTTGCGATTGATCGGAGGACTTGTGATGGATCCAGATCACTTGCAATTCTTTATGACACGGGCCCAAATCTAACAATCGAAGTAAGTCCTTTTCTATGCGATTTTGGATCTAAGGCCGAAATCACCTGAATAACTACGGGCCATTTTGATTACTTTTTACCTTATAGCTGTGGGGTTTAATTATTTATGTTGCAAATAAAAAAGAATGTATCAATTAATCAATTACCAATCAATGATTCGATGTTGTTTCTTCGTAGAACCTGTAAAAACACAAGTCTTATTCTACGGCGCATCGCATGAGGTAGCTAGTAATGGGACAGTCGTGGTTTACGTTCATCGTGGAAATCCCAGTTATCTTGATGTAGTCTGCTACATCACAAGTCTATGGTTAAGACCTCCTCGACTGACAACTCCTCTTGTGAATGGCGGAGACTTATGGGTAAATTCATTTCAATTTAAAGTGCTTTCAGGGTTAGCAACATTTTGTTAATATCAGGCATGGTGATCAGACAACGATACACCACCATAAGTGAATTCAGGAAAGTATACAAAGGCTACAAACCACTATTTCGACAGCATACAAGACCTTACTTTTCGATCTCATGGGCTGTCGTTGTATTAGATGTCGCAACATCTAAATAGAGAGGGAATAAAAAAAGAAGAGGCAAATATATATTTTCCCAATTGTGTAGAAATGGTACGATATCAATTCTCAGATTCGGGCTTAATTAATGTGACTCGAGTATAATTATATGGGAATGCTTTGAAAAATGTCAGTTGGTCATATCTCTCCATTATCTTTCAGAATTGGCCCTGGTTTTTAACTGATGCAAAACGGTTGAATCCTATCTCTACTGATTTCTCTGGCATATATACATGCAATGGGTCGTCATCATTTCACAGCGTACATGTGCTGTTTAAAGGTATGTATATAATTATACATACAATTAAATGATATGGTTACAAACAAACACACCCACATCCACACGTACCAACCACAGAACTTTAAAACCTACTTTACAGTAATGTGGTACCAACACACAAACACACTTTCACAAAATGAAAACAAAGGCAGAGAAATGTAGGTGAAGCACATGTGCATGTACACGGGGCAGACCAGTGAGTACATGGGTATGCTGGGCACGTTAGTCTGCACATATAGTCTCATTCTCTGATACTTCATAAACATGAAGAATAATTCAGCCTCGAATAAAATGAAGACTGTGTCCTCGGTGTAATGTTATCATTGTTATATCTTTTGTTGTTAAAAGTGAATGAATGCAATTGTGATAATAATATCTTAAACTATGAATTATAACATATAATTAAATTGTATGTCCTTTATACTGCAGCCTTTAACTTACATCCCCTCTAAAATGTTGGGAATCTCAACAATTTGATGGCAATTAAACTTCCACCTAAATTTTATAATGATGTGCAAGGGGATGTCATTTAACATACACATCTACAAGGATCTTATAAATAAATGTGTTTGAAGAGGAATAATGGTGAATGAATACAAGTATCTGGTTTTTTTTTTCGTACGACAGAAAACTAAAATATTATATTCTGTCATCAAATATTGGCCTTAAAATGTATTTACTTTGAAAATCCTTGCAGAATTGTGAGTTAAATGACATCTTATTTCACATCGTTATACTATTTTGGTGCGATTTTGCCATCAATGTATTTGAGTCTCCCAACACGTTAAAGGTTGAAACAACCCTTAAAGGCATTGTTTAACGATTCAAATCTGAGATGCATGGCCCTGCGTGTTATCAGCGTCTGTGATATGGTATAATAGTGAAGTCCTAAAAAATGCGCTTCAAAATGATCATGAAGTGCCTCAAAAAAGTAAAAACCTTTTACCATACTCATTTTCCCCAATAGACTGTAGTGTTATAAAAACCATTGGGAAAACGTTTTTTGAAATTCCGAACTTCCAATCGTAAATATCTTGAAAATCAGACAGGCAAATCGGTTTGTAAACGTCATGGGATTCCTGACTGACGTAAAGGTTTATAATTATGATTGCAGCATGAGCTAAATCCAGGATTTTGTATAGACTCTGAGACATAGATACGCAAATCCCTTTAAGAGTACGTTAATGCTCAATTTTGAAGGCAGAATGAGCGATTTGAAACGCTCATCGTAAACGCTCATCATAATCGCAGTTCCACGGTGCACTGTTTATGCTCACCTCTCTGGCTCCTCCAGGCATGATTCTGGCTCAGAGCCAGAATCAAGCCTCGAGGAGCCAGAAAAGTGCAGTGCAGAGTCTGCAGCTGGATGACACGTTGACCCCTTTTAAACGCGTTTACAAATAATTGTGCGTTTATGCTTCCCCATAATCGCCGATCCAAAACGCACCTATTTGTGAGTTTACGATCGGCGATTACGATCGCCGTTTTTCTGTGATTCTACAAAAATGAGAAAGGACGCAACCATGTTTTGAACTAAAAGCGTAACAAAAAGTTGAGCATATAAAACGTACCATAAGAGGCGTATATTGAGTAAAATTATGTCCTTCTCTTCACCGTGATATAGCTGCTGAATGTGAGGCCCCTGAGGCTCCAGAGCACGGAAGGTTACTAGATGGCTCAAGACAGGAGCCTCGAGATATCTTTCCAGCCGGTACAACGGTTTCATTCGAATGCGAAGATGACTACAGCTTGGTGGGATCTATGGAAATCACATGTGAAAAGGGTCAATGGTCGGATGATCCTCCTGTATGTACAGGTATGATAGTGAGCCTTACGTCTGCGCACCTAACAATATGCAAGTGACAATAGTTTTCTGTCGTATTGCATTAATGCTTGATCTCGATCCTTTTTATCCTAAAGAGTAAGTGTGCTGGAAATCGCATCAAAATCCGAGTAAGAGCTGTGTCATTTTCACAAGAAAATGCGGCGGTGTCAATTTGACATTGCGAAAACAAAGTTCCCATGTCTGCGCACTCGATCATTTACTTGCAATTTATGATTGTTAACGTGGGAGATGGTAAACCGGTCTATTCGAATCTAGCGTTTATATCTTCTATTGATAGTGAGCAAGTGCCCGGTACTCAACATACCAGACCATGTAGTCACGGAGAGTGTCCACTTCAGCGACGGGAGGAACATTGGAGATGAGAGGATCTTCAACTGTGTAGAGGGTTACGTTCTACAAGGTGATACCAACAACCTGCGATGCTTGGAGAGTGGGGTGTGGTCGGCTCCCTTACCCACCTGTGAAGGTATGTCACATGACTCTCTGGGGTATCCTCTTCTAGATTCTCCAATCCTTCCTTGATCGTTGTAGATAATCACCTCTGTTTAATAGGCAGTTTCCTTCTCCTCGTTATTTCCAAAATTTGAGAGATATTTGAAGTCGCAATTAGTAGGTTTTCCTGATAGACCCGACTGTTCTGGAATTATACACACTGGCAAACATATATTAGTGATGGCCTTAATACATTGGACGCTATCCTTTATAACACAATTACAATGGTACACGGCCACGGTACATAACACATGGTAGTACCATTACAATTATTACGGTACACTACATGAATAGAGCCATGGTGGTACTGTCTGTACCATGGTAGTACCGTGGTAGTTCTGCACCATGGCTATTCCATGGCAGTACCATGTTTGCTTTAGTATAGGGTTGGAACATAAAATCTGTATTAATGATATTATCAATAGTTTTGTTTGTCACAGATGTGTAGGAACACGGTTTGGGGCATCTTAGTCTGCGCAGACTCCACCTCACGCTTTTGAGTCATTGCCATAATTATGACGAATAATTGAGCCTCGTATAAAAAGAAGACTATGCCGTTATCATAGTTATCTGATATTGTTAAAAGTAATTGAACGCATGAATGGTAATAATACACATGGTACAAATTTCATCTACATAGCCTTTAACTTAAAGACTGAAACAATCCAAAAGAAACGTATATGGAGTAAATTGATGTTTGTTCCCTTCACCGTGATATAGCTGCTGAATGTGAGGCCCTGCAGCTCCAGAGCACGGGAGGTTACTGGATGGTTCAAGACAGCAGGCTCGAGATATCTTTCCAGATGGTGCAACAGTTTCATTCGAATGCGAAGATGACTACAGCTTGGTGGGATATTGGGAAATCACATGTGAAAAGGGTCAATGGTCGAATGATCCTCCCGTATGTAGAGGTATGATGATGAGCCTTACGTCTGCGCACCTAACAATATGAAAGTGACGATAGTTATCTGTCGTATTACACTAATGCTTGATCTCGATCCTTATAATCTAAAGAATAAGTGTGCCGAAAATCTCATCAAAATCCGAGTAAGAACTGTCTCATTTTCACAAGAAAATACGACGGTGTCAATTTGATATTGCGAAAACAAAGTTCCCATGTCTGCGCACTCGATCATTTACTTGCAGTTTATGACTGTTAACGTGAGAGATGGTAAACCGGTCTATTCGAATCGAGCGTTTATATCTTCTATTGATAGTGAGCAAGTGCCCGGTACTCAACATACCAGACCATGTAGTCACGGAGAGTGTCCACTTCAGCGACGGGAGGAACATTGGAGATGAGAGGATCTTCAACTGTGTAGAGGGTTACGTTCTACAAGGTGATACCAACAACCTGCGATGCTTGGAGAGTGGGGTGTGGTCGGCTCCCTTACCCACCTGTGAAGGTATGTCACATGACCAGGCTTTTGGGCGTCCAACCAACCCTTAAAATTTGTTGGTGTGTGTGTATCGATCGGCTAAATTTTCAGGACACAAACAAAAAAGTGCTCTTACCCCCCCCCCCCCTCCCCCGCCCCCCTCCCCCGCCCCCCCCCCCCCCACCCATCACGCGCTTATTCAGCCGCTGGCCGAGTCGTTGCGAAATTTTCGGCGCGATTTTCAAATTTTAAAACCCCCCTTCTTCCTAGATCGTTGTAGATTAGGGTAGGTGTGCGGGGCATTGGATACCATTAAGCACATTTGCATAATTTACATAAAAATGAAAAATGTTACACATACAAAAAGTTTTGTATTCTCTTCAATTACCTCTTCTCTTTATTTGGTAACAAAATTGTTGTCATGATGTAAATGATTAATATGATAACAATGATTAATGACGTCAAATTTTCAGGACACCAAATGTCTCTCATTACCTACATGTGTAGGTAACAAGTTACAAATCAAGACATTTTAAACACAATTTGAATGAAAATGGGACTGTTATAGTTAGTTCAAACACTTTTTGAAAGAGATGCATGCAGCTAATGAACCTAATGTAATTCCGAAACGATTTTAAAACAATGTGGCCAAAAATATTTGTGTTCATGTTATTTTATAATGCCATTGATTTCATCTATTGGTTTTCTCTTCTTCTTCTTCTGCCTCTTCTTCTTCCACTTCCTTTTCGTCTTTCTCTTCTTCTTCTTTCTTTCCCCTTCTTCTACTTATCATTATTATATTATTTCCTTTACCCTTTATTCTATTTTTCTTTTTTTCTCAAATTTACTCTCCTTGTACGTCTTTAGAATCTCATCCTATACTATTCCGTTTTCGCCTCCTATAATACCTTTTAAATTCAAACCTACTATATTGTGCTACTCAGTTCGGGAGCCTATTCACATACAAGCTATGCTTTTTATTTTAGCTCCCCACAGTTTACATTGTTTTTTTTACCTTGCCTGTCTTATTTATATATTTCGAAATGTCATACTTATTTTCCGTACATAATACTTGATTTGAAATCTTTTATTAAACAAAAAATTAAACAAAAAATGTGAAATCTACTCTTATACGCCTGTATACAAAAACAAAGAAATAATTTAAACTGTTTTGTTTGTAAAATGTGGAATAAATTAACTTTAATTAACCAACCAGCATCAGATCACTGACTGTCCTCGGCATACTCGACATTCACAACAAACGATCCCCATCTTGGACCTGGTGTCCCCCATTGCCTACACATATTTTTGATCAAACACTATTCATAATGTCCGTTGCAACACCCATTCACAACACACAATGGCCATAAGTTTTCTGTGATGGTTGGCACACTTCATAAACGACCTTTTAAAACTACTTGTTAAAAGCCATTCCTAAATGTCTGCATACACCATAACATTCAGTGAAAATTGTGTTTTTATATCAGCAAAATTATACGATCAAAATTGCTTATCTTGGTCAATTTTGCCAATTTTCTCGCAGAAAGAACGCATTGTAGTCTTCGAAATGAATTGGATATATGCAGGTAGAGTTGTAAAAGGCCACAAATGGCGATATAGCAATATTGGAGCCAACACAGAAAGACAATGATGGGTTCAAGCTTGGTGGTCTCCATTTCCCTACACATACCCTATCACATTTGTTAGACAGTATCCTTCTCTTCGTCATGTCCAAAATTGGATAGATATTTGAAGTCGCAATTAGTAGTTTTCCTGATAGACCTGGCTGTTTTTTAATTATACACACGGGCATATATATATATATATTAGTGATGGACATAATGAATTTAAGGTTATGAAAGGTTATTTATTTATTTATTTATTAATGATACTATTAATAATTTTGCTTGTCACATGAATAGACTGGGATTCATGGTATTCATCGTCCGAAAAAGGCAACCCTTAAAGGCCCGGTCACACAGAGGGGACGCATGGGGGACGCACGGCCGGCGCATGGAAAATTTGCAATTTTGGCCAGTGCGTTGTCGTGCGCCCAACTTTTGTCAAAGCTATACAGCTAGCTGACACCAAATGCATAGCGCGCTGGACGCATACATGGCGTATACAGGGCGCACACAGGGCGCACACAGAGCGCACATGAAAACAACTTCCACGAATGCACAGCGTGTTGCTAGCGCGCTGGACGAATGGTCCACGCATGCACCGCGTTCTACGACGCACGGCCAGCGCATTGGAAATCGGAAAAGAACGTGTGCCTAACTTTTGTCATAATTTTGGAAAAGCTAGCGAGCTGACACAAAATGCACGGCGTGTAGCTAGCGCGCTGTGCGTATACAGGGCGTGTGCTCCGCGTTTGTCTGGCGCTGGTCTAGCGCGCTCCACGCATGTCTGGCGCTGGTCTAGCGCGCTCCGGCGCATGTCTGGCGTGCCTTTGGCGTGTATATTCATGCGTCGAGCTCGGCGCACGTTTTTGAGCATGCTCAAAAAATCCCGACGCACACAGCGAATGACGACGCATGCATAGCGCTGGTCCAGCGTTGGTCCAGCGCGCTCGACGAACGAGTAACGAATGATGACGCACGCCTAGCGAACGACAACGCACTGGCCCAAATTGAAAATTTCCAATGCGCTGGCCGTGCGTTCCCCATGCGTCCTCCCTGTGTGACCGGGCCTTTACGTAAATCATACTAGTTTTTATAATTTCAAGACGGGCCGGGGAGTGACTATATTGTTTGGTTTGAATACTGCCTTTATTATGCTTCCATTCAACAAATTCATAGAAAACAAAATTAAATTTTTATAGATAAAACAAAAACAAGCTCTAACGGTTCGAACAATATTACGAATAATGACAGAATGGAAACAATACACCATCAAATACCTCAAACTCCCTCTTCCTCTCAAACTCCCCCAAAAATGGTGACCTTCGCACGAAACCCCCCAAAGTTCACTAACACGTCATCTACAGATAACAGGGCTTTTAGAGCGTGTTTAAAACTGTTCAAAGTAGGTGGCATTTTGACAGGACTTTTTAGTTGGTTCCATACTCTAATTTCAGAAATTAGAGGACTATTTTTATAAGTGTCCGTCCTAAATTTGGTACACACAATGCATCTCTTACAGCATGTCTTGTGTTGTGATTATGTAGTGAACAAACATGATGTTAATCTTGTTTTAAGTATGTTGGTGCTATGTCACGCATTGATTTATACATCATCACTGTACGTCCAAACTGGAAACGTGTCTGAATAGGCATCCATCCTAAGCGACTAAAAATATCATTTGAAGATACTTCAAATCAACATACTTTAATATCAACATGTTTTTCAAAATAAAATACAGTACACAGAACATCAATTTCCGATTAAAAACCAGAACTGCACATCGATTTTCCATGATTTAAGCGAGTTATTATTTTCTGCGCATGTAGATTAACATGTGTAAAATCAATATCTTGATTCTGTCCCAGATTTTTTGGCGGTGACCATCATATCAGATCAAAGTAAAGAAACATTTACGGAATGTTATTGAGACGACATTGACGGAGACAATCACAATGAATTCGTTAAAGTAAATATTCATTGATTTTAAAAACTAACTTTATTTTTATTATTGCAAAGTTAAGACTTTGATTCGACAAGGTTATCAAAATTCAATGCTTGGAAACATTCGAAGTAATGATTATTATAAATTACAAAACGCTTAAATACAGCCCCGGCATAGCACCTAAAGAGCTCTCCGAACGCTGCTGAGATGTGTAAGATCACAGAATGGACATGATTTGCACAAGCAGACAATATAATGTCCAATCACTTCTCACACATTTTCAGTGCCTGTGTTTTCATCTTCTTTTGAGTTCTTTCTCTTACTTCACTACCGTCAGGCTAAATGTATAATATATTGCCTCACTCTAAACCCCGCCCCCCCCCCCCCCACTCCGAGAACGGACGGACCCCATGCATGTTACCAAAATGTCCTTTCGTAACAAAAGAAAAAGTTCGACCCGTATTGACTTTACACACCGGACTTTTGCTGAAAAGGGGGGGGGGGGTCGTTTGGAACACGCATATGCGTACCCTAAATAACACTGAGTTGGGGGGGGGGGCGGGCTCTAAACCCCGCGCGTAGTTTTATTTTGATGACAAATGCAGCGATACAAAAATAAAGGAATCTGTCGCTTGTAAATAAAATAAGACGCCATTGTATAGTCAGCTGCACACACCGTAGCCTATCCGATATGCGTCGGGCTTTACAAGTATACTAATCGCGTGTATATGGAGAGTGATATCGGCGCGGGCGTAAGCCCGAGCGCCTATCATCACTGGTGCACGCGAAAAGTTTTATTTTCTTTTATGTACCATGTTTCGTTCGTAGAAAATCTACGAACCCCTGTAAAGCTCTGTAATGAATATTTATGTGGCATGGACCAAAATAGGCCAATGAGCGATGAGGAACCTGGAGATGATGTTTGATTGGTTGAATCAAAGTGATCGATCACCAGATAAGGCTATTCTTATGAATCATGCATGAGAATACGCTCGTCACACATACGATACACATATATGAATAATGATGAGTTGACCAGTGATGATAGGCGCTCGGGCTGACGCGCGCGCCGATGTCAGTCTCCATAACGCGATCAGTATATTTGCCATAAAGCCCGACGCATATCGGATAGGCTACGCATATCGGATAGGCTACACACACCGCGGTATGTTCGGCGTTTTCAAGAGGGAACAAATGCCGTCCTTAATCATTCCGGGGGGTTTTCAATTTGCAAGTCTGGTTTCTTTGATTGTTAATTAACCCCTATCGTGTGTATTTACAAGCAAAAGATTTTAGTTATCAGAATCGGGTTATATCCCCTTTTGAATGGTCTGACATGCCATTACAGTACTAAACTCATTATAATTTGAGAAATAATGGCTTGGGCAGTATTGATCCATATAGTGACGTTATTAAAACATCGTTATTTTTCCGGCGAATCTCTCGTATATCCCAGCTGCTATGGTGGTGGTTGTATTTGTATTGTTATAAATCACCCGATATGTAGTTGACCTAAAACTTGTACGATGGCCATATGTTAGCTTACCAGTTTCTAGTGATACACTAGTTGACATATTGGTGATTTTCTTTGAATTTCACCTTTAAGGCGTTCCGGTGCTCTAACACTGGATAAATTTCTACCTAATCTCTTTTTATTTAATGTACTTATTGGTGAGCTCTAACCGGCATGTAGAAACCTATTTATATGAACTTGTGCTCTCGAAATTTTGGAAACAACACAAATTTTCGGTGAATTGCCGGCTCAGCTCTCAAGGATGGCGATCTTCTTCACTCATGTAATGTATAGACAATTCAGAAATCTTAAAGCATTGATGAATGAGGTAACGAATGAATCAATAAGTTTACGCAATTTAGCAGGCAAGATTTTCCTGCAATGGCTCAAAATCACATTGAGATGCTTAATACAATGTTAACCACGATTAGTATAATAAGACTAAATACCTACAACTCCCGCTCCATTATTTATTTATTCTTTCTTTTAGATCCAGATCCGCAGATTCGTCTAATTGGTGGACAAACCGCCTTAGAAGGTCGCGTTGAGGTGTTTTTTGATGGTTCTTGGGGAACAGTTTGTGATGATTTTTGGGACTTGAACGACGTCAGAGTTGTATGCAGAATGCTTGGCTTTCAGATCGCAGTGAGAGCAGGCACGAACGCTGGATACGGTGAAGGTTCTGGAAGCATCATTCTTGATAATGTCCAATGCCTTGGGACAGAACGCAACCTCGCTGAATGCTCCCACATGGGATATGAGAATCATGATTGTGGACATAGCGAAGACGCTGGTGCTGTCTGCGCTTATTTGAAATACCTGTTTTTTACATAATGTGTATACTTCCCATTTGAGATATAAAAGGAACATCGTCAATTTGCACGCCTAGTATCATCAATGAATATAAATTAACAGCAAATACCAAAAAAGATAAATACATTCCCACATAGCTGGTTCATTCATTTGAGTAATTAATTGACCAATGGTACATTGCGTAATATAGTTTTAACATTTTGAATTTCCGCCAACTCACTGCAATAGGGAGTTTCGCAAACTCATTGCAGACAGAGAATCCGCGGTTCGTGTGCAAAATCGAGAAGCTACTAAAGTAACAGCAGGGTGACCGCTGAGGTACTGAAATCCATAACGGGTTTTGGCCAAATCTACGGGCGTTCTCAATGACACCCCAAGTGAATCAAGTGCCTCGATACAAACTATTTCATTCACCTGATAATAATAATAGTATATAAATAGACAGAATCCAATCTGCATACATTAGTTGTTGCCACAATTAATACATGCAGTTTGCATTCCGACTATTGAGAATCCTAGACAGGTGAATGAAATAATTTGTATTGAGGAACTTCACAAAGACTTATGTATTAAATTTGATTACATTACGAAAATGGCCTATTCCCTGCCACGCAATAAAGTACAGACGGGACTACACGACTAGCACAACCTGTCTCGACCAAATTTTAACAATTTATCATAAAGTTTTAAAACAATTGATGTTATATCCATATTTATGTTGTTATGGTCCAAAAACAATAATCGGAAGAAGAAAAAACTCACCAAGAGCCGTTCGTGTCAGGGGCGGATCTAGAGGGTAAAGGGGGCTTCAATCCCCCCCCCCCTTGGGCTGGCCAAGGTGCTTTCTACTACTCCCCTCCCCCCCCCCCCGAAATTTTGGTTGGCTTTTTTTTCAAATGAAAAAAAAATAGTGCCCACTGCCCCCCTACCCCCCACTGAGCGAAATATTGGTCGGCGCGATTTTTCAAATTTCATCCCCCCCCCCCCGTAGCAAAAAGCTAGATCCGCCCCTGCGCGTCAAAATTCGTCCTCCTTCGTTATTAGACGACGAAATTCCCATCACCATCTTTGGTACAAGCTCGCTGATTAGCTGTTTATTCACTTTAATAGGGCGTCATTGAGAACGCCCGTAGATTTGGCCAAAACCCGTTCTGGATTTCAGTACTACTAATGTTTGTCGAACTTGCAACAACTAATGTATGCAGTTTGGATGCTGTCTATTTAAATACTATTAATCTTATCAGGTGAATGAAATAGTTTGTATCGAGGCACTTCAAAAAGACGTATGCATTACATTTGTGTTAAATTACGAAAATTGCCTAATGGCATTGCAAATGCAATACCTCTGTACTATACGTACGCATTCACCGAAAAGCGAAAACGCGCGTTGTATCAAGGACGGTCTGTGTGCGACGACCGTACACCTGAGTGCTCTGCGTCGTAGAAGGTCTGTCCGTTGCTAAGCGAAAACTTGCTATAATAATAATAATAATAATAATAATAATAATCTTTTAAAGTCCACTCCAAATTGTTATAAGTTAAACCGAAAAGGGTTGAAGAAAAAGAGGAAAATATCTAAGTCAATATTAGATTTAAGCAGGGGGAGAATATCATTTTGTTTGAATGAATGAATAATAATTTACCTTTCTGGCACTTACACTTCGTACTGTTCAAATGACCAAAAGCAACTGCAGTGTATCGATGATGATCTTAGCATTTTCGGTCGTGATCATGGGAAATGATTAAAATATTTGAATTCTTTTTTACCATACATATATTTTTTGTTTTGCAGGTTAATTTGACGGAACATTACCTTTGGATACAGTAGCAGTAATGGATCACGACATGCTTACAATCTGATGTAAAACATGTATATATACTGTACGGCTATACGAAATAGATAACATTAAGATGGTACATCTTTGAAGTAAAATCATTTGATTAAGATTATATACACTGTAACAAAATAATAGTCGAAATAACTCAATAAAAATATTACCTACGGCATCTTAAGTAGAATTTACTTATTTTGCTGAATACATTTTTACTCAGTTAAATCGAGTTACATTAACGTAAATAATTTACGTATTGTAATCATTTTAGATAATTAAAAAAAAGCTATGATAGGATTACACATTGCACGATTTGGTACCCATCTAATCTAACAAGTAACATCCACTAATCATTCACTACTTCTATTTAAGATTAATCACTAATCACTAACACTACTTCTGTTTAAGATTTAACCGTATATATATATCTACCACCATCACAAACTATTACATACGCTTCAATTCGACACATATTGAAAGGCTCCAAATTTTATATATACTTGATCGTAGCATCTTAAAAGGAAAATTGGTTGACAATTTCCTGAAATATCAAGTTTTGATTTGTTTTGAACTGGGTAACAATTAAAAACTGTCTTGTCTTTGCTTAGCCATGTTAAATGAATTAGTAAATGTTTTAAAGTCCTTAAATTTTCATTCAACCACAAAAAAGAATTGTTTTATTTAAAAAAGAGTTTAATTTGGTCTTAATGAATATTCATAAATTATGTAAATATTTCTATTACGCACTGCATCGGTCTTACTTTAATTCTGGTCAGCTGAGCAACCAGGGGCCCGCCTTAGGGCCCTTGGTTGGGTAAAGGGGGCAGAGCCCCCAGAAGCTCAGGGAAAATCATGCCATTTCAGTAACATTTGTAAATTAGTCACTCACTGGTATCGAATTAGAAATAAACCACGTTTGAATTTTTTCGGGGGGGGGGGGGGGACTGCCCCAAGCACGAGTTAGTGAGCATAGTGAACGAGAGGGGTGAATGTGACGAAAGTGACTAGCCCCTCACAGGTTTTCAAGTTTTAAATTACATTTAAATTACATTCCTTAGCAAAACTATTGTATGAAAACAAACAATATTCTTTTTTCACACTTCACTTTTCTACAATATTTACTTGTATATTTTGAAGAATATTATGCGAGGGAGCATGGCTCCCGAGCCTGAAGATTGTTGCATTTTTATTTGTCTAAATGCTGCACTCTTGGGCCCTCCAAAGCCTAATAGTGTGTTGCAGTCTTTAGTCAGTATTTGCTGTACATTAATCGAGGGGGCGTTTCGCCCCCCTCCCACCAACCAACCTAACTATTTGTTATGCCTCCGTTACGAAGTCTCCGGAGGCATTATGTTTTCGGGTTGTCCGTCCGTACGTACGTCCTGTTCTCGTGATTGCGTTATCTCAAGATCCAATTGATGGATTCATGTCAAACTTAGGTCATGTATGTATCTTGCAGAGCCAATGAATTGAATACATTTTTGGGTCACGAGGTCAAAGGTCACAGGGCTCATTATGTATGCATAAATAGCTTGTGATCACATCATTAGAAACGATGGACAGATTACCATCAAACGCAGTACAACTATGTATCTTGCTGAGCCAATGAACCGATTAGATTTTGGGGTCATGAGGTCACAGGTCAAAGGTTATGGGGCTCATTATATCTTCCAAAATAGCTTGTGATCGCATTATTATTAGAACCGATAGACAGATTACCATCAAACTCAAGACATGTATGTATCTTGCAGAGCCTATGAACTGATAAGATTTTAGGGTTATGTATATGAAAAATAGCTTGTAATCACGATATTCTGTTAATGTATTACAATTCAACTTGAATTCGAAAAATTGCTTCTATTTCGACATCAGTTCCACCTAGTTTTTTTCATATTCCGAATTATCAATTTATTAATTTAGGAACTATAAGCATCTTTTGTTATTTTCGGAATTATGAACCCTATTTATTTTTCGTAGTTACAGACTTTTAGAATTATGAACCCTTTTTTTGTTTTCGGAACTATGAACCTTCGGAAAAATCAGGACCCCCAACCCCTTCGTATGCCCTCCATAAGTCCATTGTCATTATTATTATTACCATTACTATTATCATTAATATCAATATTATCATCATTGTTATAATTATCTCTTTTTTAAAATTATCATTAATATCATGCAGTGATCTGCATCATAATCATTATTATCATCATCATTATCATCATCATCATCTTCATCATCCTCACCATCATCATCATCACCGCCATCACTGCCCTATTCTTACTCGAACCAAATAGAAATACGAATCCATCAGCATCAATTTATACACCTGGGTACACTGTAAAAATCAGGGTGTAGAAATTCTTACACCAGTATGGTGTTGAATTTTGTTGACACAATTGGTGTTATTTTTAACACCGGTCAGATTTAAGCATGCATTAATAATTACTGGGTGTTAAAGGTACTATGTCCCATTTGCAGGCCAAAAAATGAAAAGGTTAAATTCCAACGGCATTTGAAGGATAATACTAATTTAGAACTTCCCTAAAAAAAGGAAGGGGGCTTGAAAATGTCTTTAAGTTGGAAAATCTTATTTTCTAAACCATTGTACCAACGTTTTATGCTGCGTAAAGATTCAATCAGTTTAATTTTGGCCATTACAAGAAGTGGGTTATTGATGTAGACAAATGCTCATGTACCCTTTACAGCTCATTTTATGTATGTTATTATCAAAGAAGAAAAAAAGCCAGTCAGTCACTCAATAGTGTCTGACAGTGAAGTCTAGCAAGTAAACGGGTTTCCTTGCATAATTTGAATATTAGGACACTGCTAACGTTTAAATTTCACAGACAGGACATACATGACACATTCATGATTCCTGCAAAGTTCTACATAATTTGATGTTGGCTGCAAAAGGGACATAGTATCTTTAAGTAATATGGTGTAGTTTTATGCTCGGTGTTCAAAGTATCATCACGTGATTTCGTTTAAGGCGGTTGATTGGTCGACTAAGTTTTCACAAAGTGTACGCGCGCTTAATGATTACTTTACAGTGTTCACAGAAAAATACATTTATCATGATTTGTTAAGCAAATTATGACAATGCACATCAATTTTGTGATTTATATTTTCCTTTGGTAATTATTGACCAATAGATTATTTGTCCGATCTTGTTACTATTACATTAACGTTTTAGCAATAGATATATTGATTATATGATTACTAACCAAGAAACAACATGCATGTTTATTATATATTCGTGTACCAGCGTTTTTGGTATAGACATACAGTTTGAGTGGATACCTGCGCATTGTGACCTACTGGGAAACGAAAGAGCCGACAGTTTGGCTAAAAATGCAACACAAAAAGAACACATAGATGTAACTGTACCACGGAATAGGTCTGAATTAACTAACCACATGTGTCATTTTTATCAGCATTTATGGCAAAATCAGTGGGAAACAATAGACAAAGGTAGATTTTTTACAAAGTCAGTATTAATAAACATGAA